GAGCCCCCTCCATTGCTAGGACGCATCTTCTCCACCAAATAACCCATAGGATAGAGCCCCTTCCCAGCTTCAAAATGTTTTCCTAAAAAATACTTGTATACCCCTGCGGACAATGCCCCAGTAGGATGGTCCTCCACTCCCATGGCCATGCTGAGTTCGGGATCATGTGTCGCCTGATTCTGTCCCATCCTCGCCACAGTAACACCGCGGCAGGGCATTGAAGGAAAACTCTGAAGGCAACACTGGCACCATGGTAATGCCCGGCCCTGCTGTTCCAGGCTTGTGTGGTCGATTAGCCAGTCGTTAGTTGGCAAACATCGGTGTGAGATCTGCCATTGGAGGGCGAAAATCTTCACTGGCCTCATCCCATAATCCCTAAACCATTTTATTGGCTTAAGCAGGGTCGTATCCACATTGAGACGTCGGTGCCACCTCTCCTCCACTACATCCCTCAGGCTGCGTTTTGGTCTCATCATTCGATTCGCTGATATGGTTTTCATAGTAAGTAATGCTATCGGCTTTCCTTCGCTCCCCTTGCCCCGTCGTCGTGGGTTGGGCCGGCCGTTTGTGGACCATTGCCATTCATTGGGGTCGAGGGGGAGGTCCTCAATTGGGGTCATCGGCCTGAAAGTTCTCCATCCCTGACCATCTTCCAACACTTTGATACGATAGACCTCCCCGTTCCCTTTCCAGACTAACGGCTGTCGGCTCCCTTGTAACTTTCCATCCTTTTCCACAGAGAAGAGCTTTATCAGAGATGCCTCTCTCTCAACAGTTTGCACCCTTCCCACCTGTTCCCCTTGGCCAGGCAGACCCACCCAGTCCCCTTCCTGTATGCATGGGCCTTTTCGCAGGATATAGTACCATTGAAGGGGGAAACTCTCAATCAATTCTTCCAACACTGGTTGTGTTTGGTGGCAGTCCCTGAGCCGACCCCTCATTCTATCCACGCTTTTCTATTCTTTAGAAGAGGCATCCCAGAGGTCACCTAAGTTCTCGCACTAGCCGCGGTAATTCGCGTCGCTTCGATGGAATATTCGCCATAACCCTCGAGACGTTGTCCTCTCGCAGCCATATTTCACCGGCCAGTCGCAAGCTCCGTTCACCCATCTGTCGCCTGATGCTTACCATTGGAATCGTTGTCTCCACTAAATTAATAAATTTCTCTGCCATCATCGAATACCTGGAAATTTGTCCTCCTCGGTCCGCATCTCACCATAGTTCCGTCTAGCCTTGGTTTCTCGTCCCGCCCATCCGCTATTAGCCAACCGTCTTTCATCGGTTCAAATCGCAAGGCAAAAACGGTTGGAACAGGCTGTCGCTGGAAATCCGGCCTCCAACAGTAGTCTTTTCAAAGGAAGCAAAGGGTGGCGATAGGCTTGAGCCGCCCGACACCGGGACCACTTACCCGGCCAGGCAAAAAATAAATGAAAAAATAAATAAATCAAAAATTCATTTTTAATTTTTTATTTTATTTAAATTTGGTAAAGAATGTCGATGTGACCCTGAGGCAAATGTTGTTCAGTTTATTTTTCTCATGGCTACGTCGGACCCGGACCCGTGTCCGGTATTTTCTGGACATCTAGAATTCCGGACATTCACGGACCTCCCGACATGGTCGGATCCGGACGGTCCGGATGTCTGGACAGGTCCGGAAATGTCCGAACCATTAAAAAAAATAAAAATAAAAAAATCTGAAAAAAACGTATGTTATGCAGAATAACAATGCAAACCACTTTTGCCTCAGAGTCAGGTCAGAATTCCCAACCAAACTTGAGTTAAAACTTGAAAGTCAAAAACTATAAAAAAGCTTAAAAAAAGATGTGAGGATCTGGGGTCCTCGGCAGGCCTAAGGGGCCCCTGCTACAAATGTGCCCGCCCTAAGTGAAGGCGGGCCTAACAAATCACGAGGGATGCCGCCCTCAAGGTGACCATTCGGGAGGCATACCATCAGATCTGGCAGGATCCTCACTGTCTTCTCTGAGCTCCATGACGACCTTTCCATACAATGGAAACCCTGGAGGGAAGGAGAGCTGGCCTGGCAAAGGAAGCCACTGGTCGACTTTGCAATCCCGTTTCTCCCGACCACCTTTGTGCTTGTCCCCTGAACTTTCACTACTTTAAGACGTCCCCCCCGGTTACAAGGGTTTATCCACTTCTATCCCCTCCCTGCCCTGCCTCGCTTGCTCCTCGACCCCTGTCAAGCTCCCCTACCTTCCCCTACCTTCCCCCTCCCTGCCCATGACCCTGCCCCTCTGCTCATCTCTATTCTGCTGCTTACACAGGAGTGACGGTGTGACTCCGCGACTATGGATTACGCCAGTAAAAGCGTTCGCAGCTGCAAGGCGCCAACAGCCCGCAGGGACCAGGTGCAGCAGTTGGAAGAGGCCAAGAGATTGAGTCATGTCATCACGCAGGGTATGCCGGCGGCAAAGCGAAGCTCTGGTCACAGCACAGGCACTGCTTGGCCACCCGGCAGATATGGGACTGGCTTGGTGTACGGATGCTGCAAGGAGCCCCTATACTGGGCCAATAACAGTTTTTACCTTTCCATGGCAAGAGGTTGAGCGGAAGGGTAGGGGGGCTGGGGGTAGGATAGGGGTTGGGACCAACTTCGTGACACAATATCATGTGTTTTGTCCCGGTTTTGCAATGTAATGGGCTGGACGGCACGGGACTGGGGGACTGGATAAAGGAGGAACTGACTAGGGACAACTATGATGTGTTATGGCTCGGATTCATGATGTAATGGGACGCTGGACCCAGTTTCCAGCAGGTGCAGCTCCCCACCTATAGAATGGAGCCATCCAATAGACGGGCCAGTAGAAGGGGTGTCTGCTCTTACC